CTTTAACTCAAACAATTTCTGTTAATATTCATATATCCAAGCAATTTGTCTAGAGTACTGATTTGTTAAAAAGAAATATCGAAAAAGTCTAAGGAAAGGGCAAGAAATAATTGATAAGAAGGCAAATGAAGGGTGTCTATAAGGCCCTTTTTTGGGCCCCGGTATATTCGGATTTCACCTCCTTATTTTGTTCAAAGTTGTCCTATTGTATGACATGCGGAAAAACTAAGGTAAAACTTTGACCGAAAGCGGGTTTCTGGGGGTACCAAAAGAGGTATGGTAAATCACAAATATAGTTTGCTGTTTTCAAAATGAACTTAAAAACCAAAATAAAACCATTTCTGTTTGTGAAAACACGTATAAATCAGACAAGCATATGTAACAGAATTAAAATAAAAATTCAATCGTCACTTAAAGATTGTTTATATAAAACGAGATTACGTCAGGGGGGTCTTTTTGGTCATTTTCAATTGAAAAGTAATCAGTTTTCTCAATTATTTCCTTTCTAATTAATATTTTTACTTGAAATTTACAACTTCACTCATTTAAGTAGACTTACATAAATTGCATATTGACTACATACTTTCCTTTTGTTTTATACTGAGTTATGGCTTCTGGACACATCTCAAACTTGGCTTTTTCAAATATATCTCAATTTTAAGTGAATTAAAAGGTGCATGACACCCTTTATATGCTATAAGTATAAGATATCAATTGTTAGTATTGCATATTATGTATATCATATAATATTTGCTCAACCCCTGTGGCTGAAGTGAGTTCCAGGTCCTGATTGGTTTTTTTACTTATCAAAGTTAGCTTACAAATCAAAAATGGCATTTGCCACCACAATTACTGTAAAATGATTGATTTAATAAATGAAGTTTGATTTGCTGGTAATTTTTAGTCTCCTAGCCTCAAGGAAAGTATCTGCTTTAATCGTTAAAGTTATCCGATTTCATTGTTTTATTAAAGGTTCTGCCTATTTCCAATGTTTGTCCGCTGATTGTGCATAAAAGGCATTTGGGGATAAGCATGTAACTTAACTTTGCATAGAGTTTAATGATATGATGATATCTAATTTGTGAAAGTTTCATACTTATCCCACAATGCCTTTTTACTTAAAAACACTTTTTTCTATGATTAAGAGTACAAGGACCAAAGTGCATCTCCTTGCCACACACCAAATATTTCCTGACAATACTAGTCTATATGAATGTATGTAGATTAAACAGGCTCAGTAGAGAATCTATACTAGTAAGAGGGGCGTTTGACATGCTACACTGACCAAAAGTCAGATAGTTTATGCTTTGAAAACGCAAAGAGAGACTAAGTTGTTCGTTCAAGCTATACTTACAATTAACAGTTAATCCTTTTGTTGATTTCATAAGGTTTATTTCTTACATTCAATGCTAGCTGCTACTCATATTATGTCTTAATTACTTTTCTTCTCTTTTTGTTTCATTACATTAAACATGTCATCAGTGTATGCTGTAAAAAGAGGCACACTGCCAACATTCCAAAAATATATGATGAACAACTTTTGACCTATCTGAAAGAAAAGGTGTACTATGAGGTAAATAAAAACTAGTTACCCTGTGTTCAATGTATAAAGAAACCCCTTTCATGAGTTAAAAGATATTCCTACATGTACATCCCAGCCCAAACTTACCGTTTCCACTGAAGTAAATTACACTCATTGTGACTTGTTGCGTGTTCAAGTCATAACTCTTCGAATTCCGTGGCAAAGCTATATTGATTGTTGACCGTGGTTTTCGTGACGTTTCTGATATGTTAAAAGACTTTCTTATAAATATCAAAATGCCTTACTGTCTCAGCAAAAAGCAGAAGCAACATATTACAGAAGAGGCAAACGTGTGTCGTCTTGTTACAAAGGTCAGATGGGTGATCTCGTTTTACAACACACACCGATGTCATGGTTAACGTAATGTAACAAAAAGGGAAGAAAAGTATTAAAGAAATAATATGAGTAGCAGCTAGCATTGAATGTAACAAATAAACCGTATGAATTCAATAAAAGGATTTACTGTTAATTGCAAGCATTAACTTGAACGAACAACTTAGTCTCTCTTTGCGTTTTCAAAGCGTAAACTATCTGACTTTTGGTCAGTGTAGCATGTTACACGCCCCGATTACTACTATAAATACTCTATTGAGCCTGTTTAATCTACATTCATTCATATAGACTAGTATTGTCAGGAAATATTTGGTGTTTGTCAAGGAGATGCACTTTGGTCCTTGTACTCTAAATCACAGTAAAAGGTGTTTTTAAATAAAAAGGCATTGTGGGATAAGTATGGAACTTTAACAAATTAAATATCATCATATAACTAAACTCAATGCCAAGTTACATGCTTATCCCCAAATGCCTTTTATGCACAATCAGCGGATAAACATTGAAAATAGGCAGAACCTTTGATAAAACAATGAAATCGGTTAACTTTAACGATTAAAGCAGATACTTTCCTTGAGGCTAGGAGACTTAAAATTACCAGCAAATCAAATTTCATATATTTAATTAATCATTTTACAGTTGTTGTGGTGGAAATGCCATTTTTGATTTGTTAGTTTACTTTGATAAGTAAAAAAACCAAATAAGGACCTGGAACTCACTACGGTCACAGGGGCTGAGCAAATATTATATGATATATATAATATACAATTCTAACAATTGATATCTTATACTTATAGCATATAAAGGGTGTCATGCACCTTTTAATTCACTTAAAATTGAGAGATATTTGAAAAACCAAAGTTTGAGATGTGTCCAGAAGCCATAACTCAGTATAAAACAAAAGGAAAGTATGTAGTCAATATGCAATTTATGTAAGTCTACTTAAATGAGTGAAGTTGTAAATTTCAAGTAAAAATATTAATTAGAAAGGAAATAATTGAGAAAACTGATTATATGATATATATAATATACAATTCTAACAATTGATATCTTATACTTATAGCATATAAAGGGTGTCATGCACCTTTTAATTCACTTAAAATTGAGAGATATTTGAAAAACCAAAGTTTGAGATGTGTCCAGAAGCCATAACTCAGTATAAAACAAAAGGAAAGTATGTAGTCAATATGCAATTTATGTAAGTCTACTTAAATGAGTGAAGTTGTAAATTTCAAGTAAAAATATTAATTAGAAAGGAAATAATTGAGAAAACTGATTACTTGATATATATAATATACAATTCTAACAATTGATATCTTATACTTATAGCATATAAAGGGTGTCATGCACCTTTTAATTCACTTAAAATTGAGAGATATTTGAAAAACCAAAGTTTGAGATGTGTCCAGAAGCCATAACTCAGTATAAAACAAAAGGAAAGTATGTAGTCAATATGCAATTTATGTAAGTCTACTTAAATGAGTGAAGTTGTAAATTTCAAGTAAAAATATTAATTAGAAAGGAAATAATTGAGAAAACTGATTACTT